CTGAGTATTGATTTTGTATCCAGCCACATTACTGAATTCATTTATTGTATCTAAGAGTCTTTCAATGGAGTTTAGGGGGTCTTCTATGTAGAGTATCATGTCATCTGCAAACAATGATAATTTAACTTCTTCTTTTCCTATCTTTACTCCTTTTATTTCTCTCTCTTGCCTAATTGCTCTGGCTAGTACTTCCAGTACTATATTAAATAGGAGTGGGGATAAAGGACATCCTTGTGCCTGATTTTAAAGTAAAGGCTTTCAATTTGTGGCCATTTAGTATGATGCTGGCTGTTGGTTTATCATAAATGGCCTTTATTATATTGAGGTAAAGACCATCTATTCCAATTTTCTGTAAAGTTCTTATCATGATTAAATGTTGGACCTTATCAAAGGCTTTTTCTGCATCTATAGAAATGATCATGTGATTCTTATTTTTGGCTTTATTGATATGGTGGATTACATTTATTGATTTATGTATGTTGAACCATCCTTGCATTCCTGGGATGAATCCCACTCGGTCATGGTGTATAATCTTCTTGATGATTTGCTGGATCCTATTTGCCAATATTTTATTGAGGATTTTTGCATCTGTGTTCATTAGGGAGATCGGTCTATAGTTCTCTTTTTTAGTTGGGTCTTTCTCAGGTTTTGGTACTAGAGTAATATTTGCTTCCAGGAATGACTTAGGAAGGATTGCTTCCCTTTCAATTTCATTGAATAGTTTGAGGAGTGTCGGCATTAGGTCTTCTTTGTATTTCTTGTAGAATTCTGCAGTGAATCCATCTGGGCCTGGGCTCTTCTTGGTGGGTAAGGACATAATTACATTTTCAATTTCATTAGCAGAGATTGGGTTATTCAACAGTGTTACATCCTCTTGATCTAGCTTTGGTACTTCATATGCTTCTAAGAATCTGTCTATTTCTTCTGTGTTATCAAGCTTTTGAGAGTAGAGGTTTTCTAAATAGGTGTTGATGATCTTCTGTATTTCTATTGGGTCTGTAGTGATTTCACCATTTTCATTTCTTATTGCATGAATTTGAGCTTTTTCTTCCCTTTTTAAAATAAGGTTGGCTAGGGGTTTATCAATTTTATTTATTCTTTCAAAGAATCAATTCTTTGATTCGTTGATTCTTTGGATTGTTTTCTTAGTCTCTATTGCATTGATTTCTGCTCTGATTTTTATAATTTCCTCTCTTCTTTTGGCTTTGGGCTTGACTTGCTCTTCTTTTTCTAGCTGTTTGAGGTGTAGCATCAAGTTATTTATTTGTATTCATTCTGTTTTCCTGATGTGGGAACTCAGTGCAATAAATTTTCCTCTCAGGACGGCTTTCATTGCATCCCACAGATTCCGGTAAGTTGTATCTGCATTTTCATTTTCTTTTAGGTATTGTTTAATTTCTTCTTTAATTTCTTCTGTGACCCACTGATTACTCAAGAGTGTGTTATTCAGTTTCCATGTGTTTGCGAGATTTTTGCAGTATCTTTTATCATTAATTTCTAATTTCAGAGCGCTATGATCCGATAACATGAATGGGATGATTTCAACTCTTTTGCATTTGCTTAAACATGTTCTGTGAGCTAATATATGGTCTATTTTAGAAAATGATCCATGTACTGCTGAGAAGAATGTGTATTCTGATATTGTTGGGTGGAACATTCTGTGTATGTCTATCAAACCCATTTGTTCACAGGTGTGATTCAGTTCTGTTATTTCTTTGCTCATTTTCTGTCTGGTTGATCTGTCCCTTGGTGTCAATGGCATATTAAGGTCTCCTGTTACAATTGTGTTACTGATAATTTGAGTTTTCATTTCTGTTAATAATTGTTTTATATAACTGGGTACTCTGGAGTTTGGTGCATATATATTTAAGATAGTTATCTCTTCCTCTTGGAGTTTTCCCCTTACGAGTATGTAGTGACCTTCTTTGTCCTTTATGGTCATTGTTGGTTTAAAGTTCACGTTGTCTGCTAACAGAATGGCTACTCCTGCCTTTTTTTGGATTCCTGCTGCATGAAGAATTGTTTTCCATCCTTTGACTTTCAGTCTGTGAGTATCCTTCTGGGTTAAATGGGTTTCCTGTAAACAGCATATGGTTGGATTTTGTTTCTTGATCCATTCTGCTAGTCTGTTTCTTTTGATTGGTGCATTGAGACCATTTACATTAATGGTTATTACTGTTAAATGTTGGTTAATTGTAGGAATGTTATCTCTCTGCTGTTGCATCTTTATCTTTCTGTTCTGTTTAATTATTTGCTTTGCTTAGTGGTTTTTTCCTTTGTGTATCTAAACTGTCTTTCAATATTTTTTGCAGGGTTGGTTTGGTGTTCATGAAGTTCTTCAGCTGTTCTTTGTCATGGAAGTATTGTAGTTCACCATCTATTTTGAATGATAGTTTTGCAGGATATATCAGTCTTGGTTGGAAATCATTTTGCTTTAGGATCTGGAATACTTCACTCCATGCTCTTCTTGACTTTATTGTTTGTGCTGAGAAGTCTGCTGTGATTCTGATAGGTTTTCCTTTATAAGTGATCTGTCTTTTCTCTCTGACAGCTTTTAATAATCTATTCTTGTGTTGGATGTCTAGGATGGTGATTATTATATGTCTGGGTGTAGTTTTATTTTGGTTATGACTATTTGGAGTTCTATGTGCTTCACTGATCCTAATGTCAGTTTCTGATCTCATGCTTGGGAAATTTTCAGCTATTACTTCTGTAAATATCCTCCTGACATCCTTCATGTTGTCTCCTTCTTTTTCATTAATCCCTATCATTCTTATGTTATTCTTCTTTGCATCGTCTTGCAGTTGTTGAATTGTTGTTTCCTGATTCCTTGTTATTTTTGCAAGATCTTTCCTTTCCTGTTCACTAGCTGCGATCCTGTCTTCAAGGTCTGAAATTCTATCTTCACTTTCATTAAGGTTGTTTTTACAACTTTCAGTGGAGTTTTTTATTTCCTGTACATCTCTGTGCATCTGCATTATGTATTCTGTTTGTTTCTTATATTGCTCATCTAGGGATTCTATCTTTTTGTTTAGTTCCTCCAATTTTTTATCTGTGTTTTCTTTAGATATATTTAGAATCTCTTTCATTTCTTTTATCATTTCTTCTTTTATCTGGGATATTATTTCAAGTTTGAATTTCTTTAAAGCTTCCTGGAGTTGCTTGTCAACTTCAGTAGCTATTGTGTCTGATATATGAGGAGGATGGGATATGTTTTCTTCTAAATACATTCCTCCTAGGGTTTCATGAGATGGGCTGGAGGTTTGAGGTTGTAATTTGGTCTTTTGTTTTGTCATTTTCCTATATTTCTGTGTTTCAAGTGTCATTTGAAAGCTTCCTCAGGATCTGTTGAAAATCCCCTTCTATGTTTGCAGCTACTGTGACTCTGGCACCACACTACCCCAAGCCATTGGGCCTACAGAACCAGTGGCCCTCCTCTGCCTGCTCAGAACTCCACAGTTCCAGACAAGCTGGGCCTCAGGGACACTGTGCACCTACCTGCCCCTTGGAAGGTCCACAGTTCTTCAATTTCAGCCGGCTTAGGGTACTCACCAGAGGCCTCGGTGCCTCAGGATCCTGTGGTCCCTCCCTGCTTCCATAGATATCCACAGTCCTCCAGACACACGGAGAGGCCGATGCAGGCACCCCAGATCCGCCCAGCTCCTCCTCTGTTTGACTATTGTCTCCTTTGGAAGTCCTGTAATGTTTACAATGCTTAAGTTTTATTGATCTTGTTCTCTACTGTTTTGTTTAACTTTATAATATATAATGAAATAGACAATTCTTTTTAAGGAAACAAGAGACATTGTTGATAACCATTGTTGATAACCTTGTACTCTGTTTTACATCATGTGCTATGTCTATCCTTAGTTTGACTGACAGCTTTTTTTTGCCATATTTGACTTTATTCTCCCCCCCAAAAAAGTAATAAGAACTAAGGAGTAATAAAACCCAAAAAGTGTAAATTTTGTTATAACAAAGAGAGGGAAAAAAAGAGTTCTAAATGATACAACAGCAAGAGTGTTTAGGGGTGTTAAATAACTGACCATATTAATGTTTTTGGTTGGATCATTGAACACAACTGTTTGCAGTCTCTCTGTTTGAATGTCCACTTTGTACACTTTGATACTGTGATTTGAGCAATTATCTCTAAGATGATAATACTATGTCTAAGATGATAATATGTAATCTATTAACTGGTGATTTCTTACTTTTTTTTGTAGTTCTGTATTACTTGTACCCTTACACTTGTTTTGTTTTGTTTTTTCTCTTTTTCCTTTTAAATAGAATTTTTAAAAAAATTGCACCTCCCAGCCCCTGTGCAGCTTCCAGAAGGGGCACAGAAGTCCCCACTGGCACACAGGTCCCTGGAGGTTCTGTGCGTACATCACTGGGGGGATGCAGATGTCTGACACCAGGCACTGACTTAGCATGGGCCTAGAAGGCCACTCCTCCCACCTCCACCCTCTCAGCACCTGTCCAGGTGGCTCCCAAGGAGGTGGTGGACCCCTGCAGGGGCCAGGGCACCTTGCTGGAGTCCATCTGCCAAGCTTGGGGCATTGGCAAGGCATGTTGTACTCCATCCCGTCGCTGCAGCCCGGGGGAGAGAAAGACGAGGACGACAGGGAGTCCTAGGGGCTGGGACCCCTCGAACTCCTGCAGCCCAACTTCGCCTGTTCTTACAAGCATCCCAGTACCATGCAGGGCCCTGTGGCTTCCCCATGACACAGCGCTGTCCTCTCTAAGGGGAGGAAATGCTCCAGGAACCAATAAAGCGTGGCAGGAGAAGCTGCACAAGCCAGGAGTGCATGATGGACTGGGAAGGGTGGCTGGGCAGGATGCAGAGGTCTCCTGGAGCCTGGCCTGCCCGCTCTCAGTGGGTTCAGAGACTCGGCACGAAGGCCCCTTTCTCTGTATTGGGGTGAGAGGAGGGGAGCCAAGAGCAGGAGTGGCTGCGGGGGAGGGGAAGGCACCTTTCCATGGCGTGTCTAGGGGAAGGGCACAGAGTCTTCTGCCCTTCTGTGCTGAGGGAAGGGGCACGGTGGACCTCCACATAGGAAGGTGGGTGTTTAGAGCAGTGGGGACTGCTCTTGTGCCCAGGCAGATCGTGAGCTGCCCTGGGCTGGGCCCCAGTGTGGCAGGACCCAATGTTCCATCCACTCCTGCTGGCTTCACTGTGCAACCCTGATCCTGGCAGCTTCTGGCTCAGGGTGGGGGCTGGTGGGGACTCCAAAGGCGGCACATAGCAGGGACCAGGGCCGGCAGCGATGAGGCTGCCATCAGGAGGGCCCCGCCTTCTCCTTGTGAAACTGCAGGCACAGGGAAAGGCTATGAGCAGCCAAATCTCGGGCTGAGGGGCTGGGAGCCGGGAAGGAGAGGGCCGCCTGACCTTCCGCAGTGCAAGGAACTGAGCGCCAAAAGTGGCTTTGATCTTGACACAGTCTCGGATCCAGGCCGGCAGCTTCGCCAGCACTGGGGGCCTGGTGTAGTGCTGGTCCAGGAGCACAATGCTGGCAAAGTCCCTCTGGTGGCGGATGGCCCTGCTGGGGCCAGAGTCGGGGCTCTGAGTGACATCTGCCCTCCCTACAGCACACATCCCAGGTCCCCTCCTGTAAGGAAGGTCTCTCCTCTTGTCACCCCTCCCCAACACCCATCCAGCCCTGGCTGTTCATCCCAGGGCCAGAGCAGCCGCAGCTCACTGATGGACTGGTTGACAGCCTTCATGCACAGGTTCTCCAGCAGTGCCTTCCCTGGGGGCACCTGCCCTGGGCTCCTGGGCTGCAATGGTAAAGGAGACACAAGTGTCTATCACCTGCCTGATGACCCTCCGGTCCCTGGGGATGACCCTCCTGACCCAGAAGGTGTGACGGAACCCCGTGGAGATGCCGAGAGGGCAAGGGTGCATCCATGCACCGCTGATGTAGACAGGCAGCATTCACACAGGGATCACAGTGCAGAGCCTGGCATCCCAGCCCGAGGGGTCACCCCACTCTCCATCCCCAGCCCTCCAACCCTCCGGAACCCTGCAGACTCACAAGGTGCTGATCCAAGTAGGCCATCTTCTCCTGCAGCTCAGGAGACTGGATGTTGCCCACCATTACCATGCACCTGGGGGACACGGAGATGACGCCTGCGTCTCGGCCTACCCTCTGCCCATTGGACCCAGCATGGACCAATGAATGGGGTCTCCAAGGCCTCAGCCTGGCTTCCTGTTCCAAGTCAGCCCGCCACTCCCTGCCACCCCCTCAACATCCTGAGCACCCTGCCTGCATACAGACGTTGAAGCGTGAGATCGAGGCAGGCGCAGGGACCCAGGAGGGAAGAGGGGTGCACCTACCGGCCCAGGTCGTCTGCGAAGTTGATCCCTTCACTCATCTTCCCTCCCACCACAGAGAGGAGCAGGGCCCCGGTCAATGGGCCTCCTGCCTGTCCACACCTCTGTGGAAAGACCCCATGCAGAGCACTGGGCTGGGGCCAGCAAGACACCAGGCCTGCATGGCCCCCGTGCCTGGCCTTCGCCCCTCATCTTAATGCATTTGGAATATGCGGCCAGGACCTGCTCCACTTGGCTGGCTCTCTTGGGCTCCTGGAAGAGCTGCAGGGAGAGACAGACTCCCAGGGAAAGGCTGAGGAACGTGGGCGCTCACATTGGCTCAAGGGTTTGGCCTGAACTCTAGGGACAGGCCACCCTCACAGCACCCAGCTTTGGGGATCCCTGGGGCCAGAACGCAGAGACCCTGGAAGGGGTGCAGGCAAGGGAGCGGGACAAGCAGCACCATTGGGTTCAGGGATCCCCCGGTTCTGCCACCCTGGAAACACCTGCTGGGTAAGGGGTCGCTCACCTTTTTCCTGACAGTCAGGCGGGCCAGCAGACCACTCTTGTCCCAGTGGCCAAGGACCTGGCGCTGGTACTCATAGGAAGGGAAGAAGCAGACCAGCTGCCCAGGGATCACGTTGCACAGGTTGCAGAGAATGCGCCCTGTCTCCTCCAGCTAGGAGGCAGAGAGGCCCTGAGGAGCAACGCCCAGGATACCACAGATGGGCTCCAGGCCAAGGGCAGAGCTCAACCCAGGGCATGAGCGGGCCCAGGAGCATGACAGACACCTGGCCCCGAGAGTGGCACGGGAAGGCACATGTGCCAGCCTCTTGCCAAACACACCTGTCTTTGTGACCCAGGTCCCAGTGCCAACACCTGAGAGAGGACTCTGTCAGGCCACCGAGTCCCCCAGGATCCCAGCATCCTGACCGCCAGCATTGAGGACAAAAGAGGTTCCTGTCTCCGGGCAGCAGTGGAGATGTGTCCCTAGCCCTGTGCCCGCCTGGGGTGGTGCTGACATTACTAAGGGAACCAGAGCAGTGGGCAGCCCCTCACCCTCTGGTCCTCAAGGGGCACCTGGAGCGCTGAAGGAAACTCACTTAAAGGTCCAGGGGCGGGGGTAGCTCACACCTTCATGACAAGTATCTAGAGACTCCACTCTTTGGGAGCCAGCTGGAAAGGGAGCCCTCATACTGATTTTCCAAATGCCAGGACCAGCCAGGTGACCCAGAGCTATGTGCAGCATGCGGGCTAGGGGCACTGAGCATGGCACCCACCATTGCAGGCAGCTTTCTCTGCTGGAAGGTGAACTCCAGCTGCTGGCCGGTGGGCCTACTGCAGAGGACCAGGGGCAGGATGTTATCTGGTGGGATCACACGACCTAGTGAGAAGGGGAGGGGTAGGAAACTGCTCCGCAGGCAGGTGGGGTCCAGGGAGGTTGTTCCCCACCCATCTGCACATAGAAAGGGGTCTATAGGACTGAGGGTCCCTGGGTGATGAAGATGGCAGATCACAGAGCATCAAAGCAGGAAGAGAGCAGATTACAAGCCGCCCTGTGGTGTCCCCACCCAGGGCCTGGCCAGTGGCAAACCCCAGTGAGCAGAGGTCACGGCATAGGGTCTGCTCACCACAGGAAAACTCCACCACGCGCTCGGATTGCGTCCCAGCCCAGGTCAGCAGCTGCTCCCGGAAGTCAGACACCTGCAGGCAGGGTTTGAGGTGTGTGATATCCTGAGGGCTAGGGAAAGGGACCTCAGGCTTGGTATGGAGGGCACAGAGGCTCGGCAGGGAGAACAGAGGGAGAAGTCTGGGCTGGTTGGCCACTGGGACACTGCATAGGAAATAAGCCCAGAAAGCCTAGTGCAGAATTATCAAAAAGAAAACAACCATTAATGACCTGCTGGCGGCCTCCTCAGAGGACTGAAGGAACACAAATAAAAAGGTGGCCGATTTGGCACAGGGTGTCTCAAGCCTGGCTTCGGGTGGAAATCATCACAGGAAAGTCTTTAGATCCATACAGCTCCCGCCTGTCCCTAAAGCTGAACCACTGATGAGGAACTGAGCTCGCAGACATTGCCTGGTGAGGGGGATACACAGTGGTCATGACCCCAGGGAGGGAAATGTCACTGTTAGCAGGTGACAAGCAGTTTCACTTTTCTAGACCTAGCAGTTACCTAGGAGTCTAAGCTTCGCACAGCTGACAGATGCAGCTTAGCCAGGCAGCTTTTCTTCCTCAGGGTGCCGTCTGCACAGTGAGATGGACCCGGGGAGGGAGGGAAGCTGCCTGCTGCCCGAGCAGCACCACCTCTACCCGGCACAGCACCCGGGGCCCCTACAGCCTACAGACCTCGCCCTCACCGTGCCACTGGCCAGCTGCCACCTGCACACTCCAGAAACCACAAGGCTACCACCTCTCCAGGACACAGGACAGAGCAGGCAGGCAATTATTTTAGCAAAAAAAAAAATCTCTCAAACCAAACACTAGACAGCGCCACCCAGCAAAACCAGCAGAAAGCTGCAGCCTCAGCTGAGGAATAGGATTCCCCACGGGGCAGGGACGAGTAGGCTGGGGGACAGAGTGAGAGTCCCCAGCTGTATTTTTATTAATAAGAGTTTTAACTTTTGAACTGCATGAGTGTTTACATGTTTTAAAAACGAAAATTAGGTCAAAAGGGAAAAAAGCAAGCTCTAACCACACTGAAACCAAGAAGTTCCTGGTGACTGGTTCCACTACCCAGAGAAGCACTGGGAGAAACATCTGATTTCAGACAGCAATGCACCCTGCCAGGGCAGAGCTGGCAGGCACAGCAGCGCCCCTTCCCTGGGCAGGTTTCCTGTTGGGGCAGGGATGCGATTCTCAGGCTGTTTAAGGATACTGAGAGATTAAATAGTTACGTTACGCTACCAAGAAACTACACGTTCATTCAGCAACCAAATACCAGGTATTTTTATGGCTGTCATCTTCACTGAACACACACTCATCTACTCCCCCGTGCTCTGCCTGCCCCAAGGGATCTAAATGTAAGGTCCAGGAAGTTAAGTTTTTATTTTGATTCGAAAATATCGATACACACTGTTGCTTTTCAACATGCATCTCCTCAGTGTCCCCGAGACACAGCCTAGGCACTGTGACAACTGGGAGCAGCTGGGTCACCCTGGCACCAAGTGCTAGGTGCTGCCCTCCACTGATGCATCTCTCTTCCCTGTGTGGAAATGAGGCAGCCAGGCCCGGGGTCTGGTCCACAGGACAAGAGTGGGTGGGCAAGGGCTCCCTATGCTGATTCAGAGACCATGTGATCATCAAAGAGAACTCTAAAGCAAAGAATGAATAAAAATCTAGAAATCTGTGCAATAAAAAATAAATAAATAGAGCATGACAGTGGCTGCAGCAGGCACAGAGGCTGGGGAGGGCTCAGGACCCCAGCAGCCTGGGACAGCATGTGTCTGCCAGATGTGTGGCTGCGGACAGAACTCCTGGGCAGAGACCTGGCTGCACTTGCCACAGAAGTGCTGTTCAGAGCAGAGAAATGCCAGAGTGGTCCAAGAAATGCACCGAATCCATGGGATTGGAAGACAGCAAGGGGGGAGCCCAGACTTGTGTTTGGATGTTCCCCCAAAGGTGCCTGAGTCTAGAGTATGTGACTGATCCACAGTGCAATCCTTGAACTGAGGGTGGGTGATCACAAAGTCAGTCCACTAATTGGCTCGGCACCATCCAAATCCCAGCAGCCAGGATACAGCACAAGGCACAGAAAGAGGCTGTCTTCTCCCTGCTCCACTTGTTTCTGCTGTCTTTTGCTTGCTGTGAACGGCTTCTCTTCTGGCTTGTTACTCTGCCTTGGACCCAGCCTCTACAAACTGTGCCTTGGGCTGAAACCTCTACAAACTGGGAGCCAAGGAAACCTCTCTGCTTTTTAACTCCGGGAATTGTGTCTCAGCTATAAGCAAAAAGTAACTGAGACAGGGGAGTAAATGCATCCCCGCTGACCAGGAAAGACATGTGTGCTACTGGCTTCTGAGTGCAAAAGGGAACAGTAATGGCACATACTGGTGATTCTGTTGTTTTTAAGATGCATACACACCTGTGAACCTTAACCCCAGAAAGGCCACTGCCGTGCCGCACGCCATGGTCCATCTCTGAGTGTGAAATGAGGACCTGCTTCTCCCCCACTGCTCCTCTCTGCTTTCTATGGTGAAACCCAAAACACCTACATTACACCAGCCTCAGAAGGTGGGCACCTCCTTGATGGGGCAGGAAGGGACCTCAGGGAGGCACCAAGGATCTGAGACACACAAAGGCTTTGTGAGGCCTCAATAGTGCCACCCAGGGGACACTACTGGGCCTGCACATCACTTTTGGGTTGGGGACCAGCTGGACAGGGAGGACACCTGACTGAGGCTGCTTCCTTCCCCTGGACCATCCCAGCACCAGGGACACAGGAGATGGGGGCTGGGGTCCTTACCGGCTGCATGGTGCCCCCTGCAATGACCATTGCCCGGCATTCTTTTACCACCTGGGCAAACTGCACGGCTGGATTCAGGAGCAAGAATTTGAGGCTGCTCTGGCTGAGGCTGCCTGAGAGGGGGACAGACAGAGGGGCGGGCCCAGCCTGAGCACAGGGCTCCTGGGTGCCCTGCAGGACACACAGGGGCCGGCATGGAACAGGGAGTCCAGCCTTGCTTTCCCTCCAGGACAAGTCTCCAAGGCAGACAGCACAGCCATGAAACACGCGTACACACACAGAGGCAAAGCATAGCCAAGTGCAAAGGGAGAAATCAATCCAGCTTACACAGCTGGAAGATGACTTCTTGCCCTTAGGACCACTGCCTGCCCCGACCACTGCTAAGCCGGGTAAGGCTGGGATGTGCCCAGAGCCCCCGGCACAGCTCCCTGCTGCAGCCCGGCCCTCTCTCAGGAAGCAGCCCAGCCAGGCTGCTCGGTACCTTGGCGGCTCAGGATGGCTCTGCCATCCTGGTTGGCAGTGGTGAGGGCTGTGAGGAAGCCTTCGATGTGCATCAGTGGGGAAGCAGCGCGCATGGCCTCAACCTCAGCCTCCTCTGGGGGGGCGGCGGCAGGAGCTGCATAGGGTGGAGGGAGGACAGAGGCCGGGACCCGAGTGAGGTCAGGTCCAGCGCTACCCAGGCCTGCAGCCCAGCTCGTCTTCCTGCCCTGAGACTCACTTTTGGTCACCCCCGGCTGCAGGCTCTGCAGGAATTGCTGGAGCCCTGCCAGTCTGGACTGCTCCCGGGATGGTGGGAGGATGGCACCATAGCGTTCCGTGAAGCCACAGAGCTGGAGGAGGAGAGAGGGTGGTGGTGTAACACAGGGACTCCACAGGGCTGCAGCCCACACCCCTCCCCCAGCCTGAGGATGAGGGACAGAGAGCAGCGGGGACCCCAGAGGCAGGATACCAGGCAGTGAGGGCCAGGACGGGGCCATACCTTCCTGCTGACCTTGCCCTTCTCAAAGTACTGCTGCACCTGCAAACGTGAGACAGAGATGGTCATGAGGAGGCTGCAACGTGCACTTTAGAAAGCAGCCTGGGGGTGGGCGGGCCCACACTATCAGCAGAGCCCAGCTTGTTGTGCTGCCGCGCCTGGCCATCGCTGTGCAGAGGAGGAGCTGGGCAGATCTGGGGTGCCCTCACCGGCCTCTCTGCGTGTCTGGAGGACTCTGGATATCTCCGCCCAGACTGTTGGAGTCCCCCCAGGCTTCCAACCATGTTGATTTTACTACTGTTGCTTTGTAGTATAACTTCAAGTCAGGGATTGTGATGCCTCCTGCTTTGTCTTTGCTGTTTAGAATTGCCTTTGCGATTCTAGGTCTCTTCTGGTTCCAGATGAAATTTAGGAGTGATTTCTCTAGATCTATAAGGTATGTTGATGGTATTTTTATTGGGATTGCCTTGAATCTGTACAGCAGTTTTGGGAGAATGGCCATTTTCACAATGTTTGTTCTTCCTATCCATGAGCAAGGGATGTCTTTCCATTTTCTGAGATCATCTTCAATTTATTTTTTCAGTGTATTATAATTTTCACTGTATAAATCTTTCACTTCTTTTGTAAGAGTAATTCCTAAATATTTCATTTTTTTTGCTTGCTAATGTGAAGAGTGTAGTTTCTCTTATTTCCCTCTCTGTGATTTTGTTGTTTGTGTATAGGAATGCTATTGATTTCTGATTATTGATTTTGTATCCAGCCACATTACTGAATTCATTTATTGTATCTAAGAGTCTTTCAATGGAGTTTAGGGGGTCTTCTATGTAGAGTATCATGTCATCTGCAAACAATGATAATTTAACTTCTTCTTTTCCTATCTTTACTCCTTTTATTTCTCTCTCTTGCCTAATTGCTCTGGCTAGTACTTCCAGTACTATATTAAATAGGAGTGGGGATAAAGGACATCCTTATGCCTGATTTTAAAGTAAAGGCTTTCAATTTGTGGCCATTTAGTATGATGCTGGCTGTTGGTTTATCATAAATGGCCTTTATTATATTGAGGTAAAGACCATCTATTCCAATTTTCTGTAAAGTTCTTATCATGATTAAATGTTGGACCTTATCGAAGGCTTTTTCTGCATCTATAGAAATGATCATGTGATTCTTATTTTTGGCTTTATTGATATGGTGGATTACATTTATTGATTTATGTATGTTGAACCATCCTTGCATTCCTGGGATGAATCCCACTCGGTCATGGTGTATAATCTTCTTGATGATTTGCTGGATCCTATTTGCCAATATTTTATTGAGGATTTTTGCATCTGTGTTCATTAGGGAGATCGGTCTATAGTTCTCTTTTTTAGTTGGGTCTTTCTCAGGTTTTGGTACTAGAGTAATATTTGCTTCCAGGAATGACTTAGGAAGGATTGCTTCCCTTTCAATTTCATTGAATAGTTTGAGGAGTGTCGGCATTAGGTCTTCTTTGTATTTCTTGTAGAATTCTGCAGTGAATCCATCTGGGCCTGGGCTCTTCTTGGTGGGTAAGGACATAATTACATTTTCAATTTCATTAGCAGAGATTGGGTTATTCAACAGTGTTACATCCTCTTGATCTAGCTTTGGTACTTCATATGCTTCTAAGAATCTGTCTATTTCTTCTGTGTTATCAAGCTTTTGAGAGTAGAGGTTTTCTAAATAGGTGTTGATGATCTTCTGTATTTCTATTGGGTCTGTAGTGATTTCACCATTTTCATTTCTTATTGCATGAATTTGAGCTTTTTCTTCCCTTTTTAAAATAAGGTTGGCTAGGGGTTTATCAATTTTATTTATTCTTTCAAAGAATCAATTCTTTGATTCGTTGATTCTTTGGATTGTTTTCTTAGTCTCTATTGCATTGATTTCTGCTCTGATTTTTATAATTTCCTCTCTTCTTTTGGCTTTGGGCTTGACTTGCTCTTCTTTTTCTAGCTGTTTGAGGTGTAGCATCAAGTTATTTATTTGTATTCATTCTGTTTTCCTGATGTGGGAACTCAGTGCAATAAATTTTCCTCTCAGGACGGCTTTCATTGCATCCCACAGATTCCGGTAAGTTGTATCTGCATTTTCATTTTCTTTTAGGTATTGTTTAATTTCTTCTTTAATTTCTTCTGTGACCCACTGATTACTCAAGAGTGTGTTATTCAGTTTCCATGTGTTTGCGAGATTTTTGCAGTATCTTTTATCATTAATTTCTAATTTCAGAGCGCTATGATCCGATAACATGCAAGGGATGATTTCAACTCTTTTGCATTTGTTTACATATATTCTGTGAGCTAATATATGGTCTATTTTAGAGAATGATGCATGTACTGCTGAGAAGAATGTGTATTCTGATGTTGTTGGGTGGAACATTCTGTATATGTCTATCAAATCCATTTGTTCGCAGGTGTGATTCAGTTCTGTTATTTCTTTGCTCATTTTCTGTCTGGTTGATCTGTCCCTTGGTGTCAATGGCGTATTGAGGTCCCCTGTTACAATTGTGTTACTGATAATTTGAGTTTTCATTTCTGTTAATAGTTGTTTTATATAACTGGGTGCTCTGGAGTTTGGTGCATATATATTTAAGATAGTTATCTCTTCCTCTTGGAGTTTTCCCCTTACGAGTATGTAGTGACCTTCTTTGTCCTTTATGGTCATTGTTGGTTTAAAGTTCACGTTGTCTGCTAACAGAATGGCTACTCCTGCCTTTTTTTGGATTCTTGCTGCATGAAGTATTGTTTTCCATCCTTTGACTTTCAGTCTGTGAGTATCCTTCTAGGTTAGATGGGTTTCCTCTAAACAGCATATGGTTGGATTTTTTTCTTGATCCATTCTGCTAGTCTGTATGTTTTGATTGGTGCATTGAGATCATTTACATTAATGGTTATTACTGTTAAATGCTGGTTTATTGTTGACATGTTATCTCTCTGCTGTTGCATCTTTATCTTTCTGTTCTGTTTAATTATCTGCTTTGCCTAGTGGTTTTTTCCTTTGTGTACCTAAACTGTCTTTCAATATTTTTTGGAGGGTTGGTTTGGTGTTCATGAAGTTCTTCAGCTGTTCTTTGTCATGGAAGTATCGTATTTCCCCATCAATTTTGAATGATAGTTTTGCAGGATATATCAGTCTAGGTTGGAAATCATTTTGCTTTAGGATCTGGAATACTTCACTCCATGCTCTTCTTGACTTTATTGTTTGTGCTGAGAAGTCTGCTGTGATTCTGATAGGTTTTCCTTTATAAGTGATCTGTCTTTTCTCTCTGACAGCTTTTAATAATCTATTCTTGTGTTGGATGTCTGAGATGGTGATTATTATATGTCTGAGTGTAGTTTTATTTTGGTTATGACTATTTGGAGTTCTATGTGTTTCACTGATCCTAATGTCAGTTTCTGATTTCATGCTTGGGAAATTTTCAGCTATTACTTCTGTAAATATCCTCTTGACATCCTTTATGTTGTCTCCTTCTTTTTCATTAATCCCTATCATTCTTATGTTATTCTTCTTTGCATCGTCTTGCAGTTGTTGAATTGTTGTTTCCTGATTCCTTGTTATTTTTGCAAGATCTTTCCTTTCCTGTTCACTAGCTGCGATCCTGTCTTCAAGGTCTGAAATTCTATCTTCACTTTCATTAAGGCGGTTTTTACAACTGTCAGTGGAGTTTTTTATTTCCTGTATATCTTTGTGCATCTGCATTATGTATTCTGTTTGTTTCTTATATTGCTCGTCTAGGGATTCTATCTTTTTGTTTGGTTCCTCCAATTTTTTATCTGTGTTTTCTTTAGATATATTCAGAATCTCTTTCATTTCTTTTTTTTTTAAATTTTATTTAAGGAGAAAAGAAAAAAAAAGCAGGGAAAGGGTACAAGTTATACAGATTTACAGAAAAAAAATGAACAGTAGGAAATCACTAGTTAATGGATTACATATTGTCATCTTAGAAATAATTGTTCCAGTCACAAAATTAAAGCTTGTAAAGTGGACATTCCATCAATGATACTGCAAACAGTTCTGTTCATTGATCCAATAAAACTCTGTGATATCATTTTCTATCTTATACATTTAAATATACATGCAGTTATATAGTTTAGAGCACTTTCTTTTCCTCTCTTTTGTACCATGACTATTACACATTTTGGGTTTCATTGCTCCCACGGTTCTTATTACTTTTTTGGAAGAGTGTCGATGTCGCTCCCGGCCGGCAGGAAAGACACACGACAAGGTCTGGCGGTGGTCAGGCTTTTCTTTATTCTCTCCTTATACAGTCTGCCCCGAAGCCTCTACCGGTCCGCTCTCCGCGGCTCCTTCCGTGCTTCAGTCTGCCCCGAAGCCTCTACCGGTCCGCTCCCCGCGGCTCCTTTTGTGCTTCTCTCTCTCTCGGGGGTGGAGGCACTGGCTATATATAGGATTAATAGCTAGGCAGACTACCCTGTGAGGCGGGAACTTAGTGGGGTGATAAGAAACAGGTGCCACACAGGCGGGCTCGATGAGAGGGGTAATCTAGCTCAGGCTTTTGTACTTTCCCACAGGCCTCGCAATCACCGCGTCTGATGACTTGACAGTGCCACGGCTCCCAACAGAAGAGAGTAAAACCAAATGTGACATAACAGAACAGAATCGGTCAAGTCAAAAGGGTGGACATAATAGATAATGTAAAAACATAATACAGGTGATCAACAATGGTTACCATAATGTCTCCCGCTATCTCTAATAGAATTGCCTATATCATTAGTTATAATACAATTGAACAAAACAGTAAAGAATAAAACCGACAAAACCAAAACATTGGAGACATTGTAGGTCTTCAAAAGTAGCTAAAAGTCAACAAGAATGGGCGTCATAATGAATCTCATTATCTTCACAGCTGATGCCTAAACTTTCGAACCTGATACTATCCAGCAAAACAGAATAGGGGAACATCAGTTAAAAACCAGATGGTGAGAGTAATACAGGGCTTTAAATCAAGGTAATGAAAAGTCAAAATGGGTTACTATAATATATCCTGCTATTTTTTTCCTTTAATTAAAAGGATAAAGATAAAAAAGTAAATA